AGTTCATTATATAGATATCAATAGCAATAGAGATTCATAAAATGTGTTAGGAAAGAACACAAATAAGTGTTATTGTAATAAACTTGTAATAAATTACAAATAAGTGGCAGTCGCCTGTCTAAGAAAGGCAACAGCAACAGCAACCAGTGGCAAATGCTGTATTACACAGTCTCTCTCACAGAAAGAGAAGAGAGTTGTTATAGAAGGCACTTAACTGGGATAGTGAATACAGTTCTTGTCACCTGTGTCCGAAAATTAGATCAGACTATGGCAGGATCATGAAACATCTCTACAACTGAGGAATATGAAGAGCCTGAAGAAACATTGATTTGCTTAGCTGGGCAGGGGAGAGACAAGGTTGTAGGTGTTCCAAAATAAATTAGAGGGTAAGTGTTAAAGGAGAGCCAATTAATTTCAAGGAACAAGGTAAAAAGGTGGTAACTCTGGCCAAGAAATTTAGCATGAAAATTATAAAGAGATTTCTATTAAATCTGCAGAGTAAAATAACAAAACAGGCTTTCAGTAGCAGCAGAATGGACATAAAATCTGACTGACCCCAGGCCAGACCTTGAGCATGTGCCAGGATTTCTGTGGTTGTGAAGTCTCTGCCACAAATCACTCTTTCATCTTTCACCTTTTTGGGTTGCCACTCTGGCAGTCCTATCTAAAGGAGGACTAACTGTGCTTAAGAGGGTTTTAAACAGTTCTCCAAACTTTGCTTACAAGACTAAAAGAGTTTCTTACAAACAGACAGTTAGACAGCACCTGTCTGGAAGATCAGCACGGTGGCCAGTTATGGAGTTACAACAATGCAAGGCACAAGTAGTAGATTCCATCCAAAGCCCAAGAAAACATATTTCCTTTAAGTCTACAGAAAAGCTTGGAGGATAAAAGACTGCAAAACTTCACTCCGTTATCTAGAGTGTTAGAAGACTGCCTCAGCAGTGGTACAGCTTAACAACCAGCTTCATATTTGTACATTATTGTTATCCACCCATCATACACAAGGGGGAAATAAACCTGTGGCGTAAGTACTCAGAATAACTGGGCTTCACATGCAAAGTGGAAGCCATATCCAAAGAATCCAAAGTTCACACCTCAGACTTGGGCTCAGTTGCAGAGTAGAGCAGGAGCACGACAGCAGAAATCTGATGGCAGTGGAGGACATCCAGGAACCCCTGCAGCTTCCCTTGTTAGAGATGCACTGGCAACTGGAGCACGGATATAATGTCTATGATATCTCTTTTAGGGAATGTGTGAGAAACAAAGGCCAGTGCTCCCACAACAAAAAACTCTGAGGAAAGCATTAGTGGGAACTGAGTTCTCAGCTTCTGGAGAGGTTTGCAGTCCAAGACACAGAGTGGCTATTCTTGCTATACCACGTTATTTATAAATCCCCGTGTCCTGACTGCCCCAGAGAACTCACAACAGACCTGTCCCACCTCCATAGCGTAGCAGGGCAGACCTGGCACAGGCACAACAAACACTGCACCCAATAGAAACAGGAGCTCAGGTGTGAAGGGAGGGGGAGCAGGATCAAGATTTCCAGCTTAGGCAAAGAGGAAGAGAGTGCCTCTTTGAAGCGCCTGGCAGCAAAGTCCTTCACCTCTGCTCCTAATCGCACATCTGCAGCACCACTCAACATTCAGACAAGATACAAAAGATGCGCCCGACAGTACAATGCTGCACAAACCATGACAGAGGGGAGGAAGACAGAAAATCACACCACCAAACTCCTTCCACCCTGACCAGTTGTGCCTTTTCCCTAGCATAGCATCAGGGCTAACCATGACCTAGAACACAGTCTGCTCAAATGAAAAAAGCAAAGAACAGACACTGGAGAGCAGAGTTTGAAGATTACACATGCCAATGATTGAGTGCTTAAAATCTCTCTGTCTACAATACTTCTTCTTCTGCAAGCCCTTCAGACCAGGATTTAATTTTTTGGTATCTACCTAAGGCTTCAGGAAAGGTGAGAAGTACTCGTAGGACAGACAAGGGTTTTCATGGCTGAGATGACTCAATACGAGATAACCAGAGAAGGAGTGCAAGAATACCAATAAAACTTTCACTGTCAAAAAATTCAATTGCAGAGCTGGTTCTTTGATTTATTTTTTTTTTTAATTTATTGTGGGACACGTGATTGGTAGTTTACTCATGCTCAGATGAACTGCCACATCTGAATTTGTCTGCTTGTTTTCAGGGTTTCTTGTATCTCTCTCTGCTTAGCTTTGCTGAGCTAGTGATAAACCTCAAGCTATTTAGCGAGTTCTACCACACATGAAATAAAGGTTAAAGGCACTGTATGAAGGACAAAGCATTCAGCCAGTAGAGGAGGTGAAGGTAAAGCCTGTCTTGAAACTATGAGAGCAATTTTCAGTTTATAATTGCTTCCTCCTTTGAGAACGGCCGAGGATTGCCTAAATGATATCAACACAGTGCAATCATTTAGATAAAAAGGAGACATGTTGCAATGCCAAATATTCTGAACCAATCCATAGCCTCTTCCTGTGCATTAAAATTAATTCAAAGGCACACTATGAACTAAACAGGAAAGTCTAAATCATGTTTAGGATGCTGAAAAATCCCCTAATATCCAATGCATACTCCTCAGAAAAGGCAACTTACTCTGTCTTATTTTTACTTCTCTAGATTTCTGTCCTGTAGAAATGAACCGTACTTTACCCAGAAAACTGTATCTCAAAATTTTTAAGGGAAGAATACTAATGTATATGAGAGTATTTACTAATAAGCATAGAAAATATGGACAGCATTTGAACATTCTTTGAACATCCATTTAATTAAGCTAGATGACACTGGTTTCCTGTGGAATACTATCTCAGAATAGTAGACGTGGAGAGAGGCAAAAAATCGTTTCAGAATAAGCTACAGTCTATTCACTGATCACCTTATGAATGCACAGATTCAAGGTCCTTGTAATACTGAAAGAGGAGAAGATATTTGATTTCAGTGAATAGCTTTTTAAAAACAAAAGAGTGTCTTTCAGCACAGAAATGTAACCCTTTAAAGGAAGAGTGATGCGATGCTATCTCCAGAAAAAGAAATAGACATGCAACACACTCTATTCGTAATCAAAAAAGACCAAAATCCTAAATTTTTCCCTTGTGTACAAATGGGAAACAATATGTTTCGGTAGCATTTATGCTAAAATCTAGGAAAATACTAAAATGTTGAACACATATTATGTGCAGTCACAATAATTACACTAGTTATTGCATTTCCTTTCCTCCTACAAAAAAAAAATACTTCTGACAACTCGTAATAGCCAAAGAAAAACATTTCCAAAGGGAAAAATGTTTCAGATCTGTATAAGCCTGTTTATGGGGGTCTGCGAAGGGAACCAAACCCAGTGAATACTCACACCTTCAATAGCTTCAGTTACTGTGCAAAAAATGGTCACATACCTCTGAATAGAGTATCCCCATGCCTATTCTTCACTGCTTGAGTTCCTTCTTGTTCAACCGCCCAAGTTAACCACACTCGAAATGCGCTTGAGCTTGTTTGAATCTGGTTAATGTTTAACTTAAAAGTATCACTCTTTCTTAAGCTACATTTCCTTTCAGTGCTTTCTACTTGCTAGTATAAAACAATTGTCTTCAGAAACCCAACCCAGGGAGGTGAACGTGAGAACAGCAGCTTGCAGAAGACTGACAGAACAAGTTTCAACAGAGAGGCATTTTCCTTTGTCATTTTTGCAATAACATCCTTCAGTTACCTAAAAAGGAAAGTAGCAAAACAGGTCGAGGAGAGGAGGAGGGAGAGGGAGAGGAAGAAAGTTTCACAAGTGAAAAAGAGGATGGGGAAAAAGAATAAAAAGCACAACATCTAAAACTTAAAATAAGTAACTACAAGTGGTAGCTAGTGTGCCACCCAAGCTACTTCTGACTAAAACATATTCCAAACGCCCTGCAAGAACAGCTCAAGATTCTTGTCAGGAAAAGGGAAGCAACTAAATCCCACGCCTTTAATGAGAACTCCCAGTATAATTATCTGCAGTCTCTAATTAAACAGGCCATCTGCTTTCATCACCTTTTGCTCAGTCTTCTCTTCCTAGCCCAGCCCAAACAATGAATATGATTCATGTTTAACCTGATAATTTTATATTTAAATTCAGAAGAGAATTACTGTTGATGGCTCTGATGATAAGATACTGTATTACGCTCAGTCTTTCCGAGTAGGGCATGTGTATTTCAAGTGTCTGTACTCATCTCAAAATATCTTTTCCCTTTATATTTTAAATTCATGTTTCTTGTATTTCAAACAAATTTTAAAACAAGTTTTAAAACATATGCATGTAAAACATTTGCATGTATCTTAAATCCAAGCCCTTTACCTTATATTTGAGAACTTTTATTTCCATATAACTTTCATATTTATTCTCCAATGAGGTGGAGGACCATATAATTTACTTATATTATATCTATCCTTCTCTAATTAAATTACTAGTACAGCACCACAGCTGTAGTGTTTGTTTGCTGGCAAAAGTTTTAATGGCTGTTTATCTGAAGAAAATTACGTTGACATTAACAGAAACAGACATCTACCTGTGACAAACTCATTAGGATCCTCACAATAGATTGATCTTTCAGCATGTGATGAAAATTCTGTTGGACCCACAACACAGAGGAGTGAGTAACGTCTCAAAGGTGCAAAGGTATACCTCACCAGTACTTCACATCCAGCTCCTAAGGAATTAACATCTTCCTGCATCAGCTGGCCAGGCTGTTGAAATTTCTCAACTACAACTTGCTGAAAGACATGTCAAATCACTATGATGCTACATATAACAATTTAGTAATTGAATTAATCCTTTCCTAACACAAATAAATAAATAGTAATCTGAGAAACGATTTTAAAAAACAACAAATAAACCAACCAAAAAAAAAAAAAAAAAAAAAA